ACAGCACGTCCACACAGTCGTGCGACAAGAAAGAGAATGAACATTCAAGGTAGTCACGTGGGCAATTAGTGGAGCATGGTGCAAGCTCTATTAGGAACTAGGCAGCTAATTAAGGAGAGCAGCATGGAGTGCACGGGCGAATGGACAAGGAGGCCTATGGAAAAAAGTTTACAGTCGTTCAACTAAAAGTCGAAGCAAGAGAGAGGTGCAAGTCGTGAGACAGGATAAGTTTAAACATAATATATATCAGTTTAAGCAAATAGTAACCTAAGAAATGTACATATTAAATACAAAACTAATGAATATCACTTGAAAGAATACAAAGAATTTGTCAATTATGTAACTCTGCTATAGATGACGAAATACATATTACCTTTGAATGTCCTTATTATGCAGAAATACGAACTAAATATACCGTTTCTATTTTGTCACCGAATGATGCCGGTGTAGTATTTAAATTATCTTTATTTGTAAAACATGGAATGGAACTAAGAAATACCTTGTTTAATGGAATTTCAGATTTGTAATTACCTTACTCTAAAAAGTCCTCCTGATTGCCCCAATTGTTAAATGAATGTTATATTTTTATCATTTCCACTGTATCTACTAATCGGTGTTTTCTCAACCAGTGTATTTATGTAAACTTGAATATGGGCTGATGGCCTTTGATACAATAAATCACCTTTGACTTGACTTTGACTGTGTGAACTTTTCAATTGAAAGGGATTCACATTATCAAACATTTAACGTGAAATGTCTCATTACTCGTGTGAGCTCGCTTCTCGTAATGTATTACTGGAAAGAGACTGGTCTGCGTCATAAACTGTAAATATGTAAGTGTAAAACTTATTGTTTATTTTATGCTTATCTCAGATCCCATGTTTTAAATTGTATGTAATATTGTGTTGCTGGAATATTGCTAAAAGCAGCATAAAACCATACTAATCCGCTCACTCTTAAATGGTCTTATGTATAGGTATAGTAGGTATCGTTGCTATAATATCATGATAGAAATAAAGCAGATGCCAGGTAAAACTTTAGTTCACTCTTTCACCGAGATCCCCAATGACCCCAGTTTGGAGCTGTGGGGTTTTACTTTGCTTTCGTCTCTCGCCTGTTGAAGTCTGTTGAAGAATACCCGTGAAGGTCCGGGTTAGAATCGTGATCTTCAGTAACCCATGCTTGTCGCAAGAGCCGACTAACGGGATCGGGTCGTCAGGCTCGCTGACTTGGTTGACACCTGTCATCGGTTCCCCATTGCGCAGATCGATGCTCATGATGTTGATCACTGGATTTCCTGGTCCAGACTCGATTATTTGCAAACCGCCGCGATATAGCTGGAATATTGCTGAGTGCAGCGTAAAACTAAGCTCACTCACTCACTCATCATTCACTGTTGAAGAAAACAGGTTGTATTTCGTCTTTGTCCAGGCAATGCTTCTTGAGAGTCAGTTTCCCCCCATTTCCTTGAATGTCTGTGTGAGTCGGTATCCGGCATGACTCCACTCGTCTGCCTTAAATAGTTTTGTATCTAGAATTTGGCTTTCAGTGCAGTGCGGTGTGTGATAGTGTCGACGGGTAGGTGTGTCGACAGGGAAACTAGCTCAGAATTATACGAACAATACGTTGACAAAGACGAAGGAATAAGCTGATTCCAAACTTCTTTGGTTGGTTACACAAAGACATGACATAAACAAATACACATAAATGGGGTGAGCGGAGTTCCAGCTCAACCCCAGGGCGTTTCCTACGAGCGGCATTATCCTGCTCGCGGCCGTCCCTACACAGACAGTCGGAATACAGGACTCCTTGACAATATAGATGTGAGCATATATATACAGTTTTTGACAACAATGGACAGGCGAAGACTCAACAATGGACAGATAGAGAAACAATAGCACTTCCTTGGACCAGTTGATGTGATGGCAGACACGGCCAAGGGGGATGACCATTTAAGGCTATAAATGTCATATACAATAATTAACGACAGTGAGAGAGCGGTACAGAGTGGTACAGAGCGGCTGCCAATGTACACTGAGGTAACGATAAGAAAAAAAAGCGGGTTAGCGTCATATAAAGAATTACAATGAAGTCTCACGTGGCTTGGCTACGTAGTGTTTGGTTTTTATGAATATTTGGACGATGGGTGGCTGTCCTGACTTAGATGCTATGACAACAGGATGCGTCTACTTCCGGTATGTTTGTTTGTGTTTCCATTCCAACAGTGATTATTGATCGAACATCAGATTGATGGACCGAATATGCTTGGTGATTGGAGCTATGCATATGTTTCTTTTTTCGTTTCAGTTGGAGTTGTCTGGCGTTACTCATTGCATTACTTGTAGTGGGGACAGCTGTTGATGCGCGGGTGGCTAGCATTTGGGCTTCGTACTGTATTCTATCAGGCCAGTGTTTGATGTTTTTGATGGCATCATTTTGTAAGGTACTCTCTATATTTGCGCCAAGTAAACTGTTGATCTAGCATCATGTCTAGGGATTTTGTTATGTTTCTTTTATGGAGGGGACATGATATCATAGTTTCTAATAGCGTGTGCGTGTATGCGTATGCATATGCCTGTATGTACATGCATGTATGAGTCCGTCTGCTGCGTGTGTATGTGCGTAAACAAAGTTATAACTATTTTATTCACTTTTATGTTTTATATTACCATCATGTAATTAGTTTCTCGTAGGCCAAATGGCCGGGTGCTGTTTTAAATGTATCATAATATGACTATACATTTCGTACCACAGCATGTAACACTTTAATAAAATCATTTTTCTTCTTCTTTCTTCTTCTCTGAATCTGAATAGAGTGAGTGAGTTAAAATATTTCAGCCATATCGTGACTAAAACTAGTTCTTAATTGATAATACATACATATAATATATAAAACCCTGTCAACGAAGGACAGTAAAATTACTAGATTATCACAAAATGAGTTAAAACTAGCTAGCATATATCTTTAAAAGTAGAAAACTATTTTTTGGACAATACAATGTAAAAATAGGCTATATATCGCCAGCAACTGTGAATCTGAATAGAGCTGCCACCACTTTCCACCTTGAACGCCCATCTGATGCGCCGCTGAACTTTATTGGCAATTATTGTTTTTATTCATTCGTGATATACTTGGTGATATATCCATGACAATACTCCGACTTCGGCAAACGTATAAGTTGATGTAAGATTGTAGACATGATGAAACATATCGTTGATCATGATGATGAACTAGGTTTAGTTATTATGCTGCCTTGAGGCGTGCCGTTGTCCGTTCACGTTAGTTTAAACTGCTCCCTGACTTGCCTTACGTGCAGCTGTATATCAACATGATCCTCTGTTTTGCATCCCTTGGATGAAAGAATCACGATCAAGCATGTCTTGCTTGACTGCATAGACACAAGGGATAAATACGTCGGTGTAAAACGGTTAAAGATAGTTTTCTTAACTGTCATTTGATTATTGAATAAACTCTGTCAAAAAAGAAACGCAACCCCTGTCCTCAGATATGAAAAAATTCGTTTGAATGAAGTTATTGCTTCCAAACTAAATGTTATTCGAATGTATTGAAATTATACACGTAATTAATGAAGATTACCATCCAAACAACTGCATTTGTACGCATAAGTGTATTTTATTGCTTATTCCGTCACAACGCATGAAATGACCCTCATGGTGACTTCTGCACAAAAAAAAACACATGCAAATCATGAAAATGGCAGTTAATGTAGGGTGTATAAAAGCCCATGTGCTTTCGTATTATATTCATTCATTTGTCGCATGAAAAGCTGTGTGAAAAATGCCACGATTGAGTGCTGCCGACCGAAATATCGCCATTGGTCGTGTTCAAGCCGGAGAAAGTTTTGAACTGTTGCACGGCACCTAAATGTTCACAAAACAACGATATCCCGACTTTGGAGCCGCTACAACAACTTCAATTTGACCAACGATCGCCCGAGAAGTGGAAGGCCAAGAATCACGACCCCTTCAAGATCGGTACATCCGGGTCCATCACCTGCGTAATCGGCATGCCCTACCAACCGTGACTGCCACACAAATACCAGGTTTGAGGAGAGTGTCAGCTCAAACGATTAGGAACCGTCTGAAAGAAGCGGGTTTACGTGCCTGTAGACCAGTTGTTGGACCTGTACTACGCCCCCTACATCTCCGCCGACGACTCAGGTGGTGCAACAACGTAAGGATATGGACTTTACAAAACTGGAGGCGCATCTGGTTTTCTGATGAATCCTGTTTCTTTGCAACATCACGACGGAAGAAAACGTGTGTATAGGAGACGTCATGAACGTTTTGCGCCCATCTGCGTCCGACAGGGGACAGATTTGGCGGAGAAAGCGTTATGGTTTGGGGATCCATCTCATACAACCAGAAATCAGACTTGGTGATCGTTGAAGGGAACCTGACAGCCCAACGTTACATCAACCACGTATTACAGCCTCACCTTCTCCCGATTATTGACCAACAGACACAGATTTTTCAACCAGACAACGCCCGGCCTCATACTGCACGTGCAACAATGAACTTTCTGCAGAATTCCAACGTCAATGTCTTGCCATAGCCCTCTAAATCACCAGACCTCAACCCTATTGAACACCTGTGGATACTCTGGGTCGACGCGTACGTCAACGTCAGCCGCCGCCACAGACGCTGCAACAGCTCGGCGTTGCACTGCAGGAGGAGGGAGAGCCATTCCCCAGGAAAGAATCCGGCGTCTTATCCGTTCTTGTCCAAGGAGATGCCGTGCAGTGATTGCAGCTCGTGGTGCTCATACGAGATACTGAGAAAGACGCCCCCTGGTGACAAACTGGTGTCTGTGAGATGACTTTGAAATGACAATTTTAAACATGCCCATCTTGGTTATTATTCTGCCAAATTTCAGACTTCTGTCTTAAATAATAAAAAAATGCTGTGTCGTCTTAAAACTTCAGATCAAAATCTCTAAAATACAGGGTTGCGTTTCTTTTTTTGACAGAGTTTATCATTTGTTATTGTCGAGGTAGGAGAGGCAGCGACAGCACAGTTGACCTTGGACGTTTAGATTGGTTTACTTGGTAACTGATGAACGTCTCAAAGGCCCATAGCAAGCTTGATTTGAGGAAGAATTTCAAGGAAAGGATAGTACATATAATATAGATGTAGATATTAATAATAAACAAAAGGTAGATTGTACTGCGTATCAATATAGGTAGAAATTGCTTTTGACACCTCTTGACTTATTTATAAAGTGTGGACTTAATATTTACACATGTACTTGTACACAACCATTGGATGATGGGCCAGTGATCCCTTTACTTGTGTAAAATCGTGGAATGTATTACACAGAGCGTTTACCATTAACATACCAAACTGAAAGTTAAACTCAATCCATTCTCAGTTTTTCAAGAATCATAAGTATCTGTTTTTGACTTATGAAAACACAGATATTCGCGAAACACCAGTACTTAAAACTCGTTCGTCATTTTTTAACTTTAAACTTGCTTTCAAAGTTAATCTGGGTTGTCCAAGGAAAATCGAAAGGTGTTAGATTTAGAAGTGGGAGAACATTGACTGCGATCTCTTTGAACTTCTCCTCTATGCCCATCTGCAGAAACACGTAACCCTTCGTCAGGGTGCCCACGTGTCTCATATGCCGTATCACGTGATACGGAAAGTCTGTGACATCATCTCCAAATATATCCATGCTGTACCGCACACCTAGTTCACAGTTACTTGGAGTGCCAAACGTGAGTAATGTTGTTTCGCCGTTGCTGCCTTTTGACCTGAGACACAATGCCTCCGGTTCCAATATGTACTTCATATTGCTGGGGAGGAAACGGAGTGGTATCCAATCTATCACAATCTTATTCGCAGGAAAAAGACTTTTGCTTGATCCTTCAGAAGCAAACAAGTCCAGCAGATCTTCTGACGTCATTTGTTGCAAGATCGGATATGGTCCTTCTAGCTCATGAAGGTGTAGATCTGACATCTTGAATCGACCGTGGACAAGGCTCTGTGGAGGTAACAATCAAAGCATTTAAGGAGGACAATGTTATCAAACACAGTGAAGTATTGACGGTAATATCATGTTTAATGGCATCCATACTACCTCAATCTGAACAAGCCAAATCATGTGATCACACAAAACCTCCAACGTTTTTTTAAGGTTCAAAATTTATAAAATGACGCCACTTTTAGAGCATCGGAACCAAATTCTGCACTGCTCAGCTCTTTCAGACTAAGGAATTTAACATGTGTTATATTTGAGATTACACTTTCTTAGTAAAATACAGATTCTAGTACTTTTGTTGGGTTGAGTCCCGTCCGGGATTCGAATTCACACTCTCAGAGTCAAGCACGTAATCGCCAGCACACAAATCTTAAAACAATCTAACCAATAGTTCTAAAGTTATAAACGAAAACGTCTTCGGACGGACGGATTGACGAATTTCCTTAATATCATTACATACATTTGCGGGTATAATAACAGATTATATCATGGCTAACCAGATATATTCATGATTGGTCGCAATTGTTTACCATTTGAAAGAAATACGACCATGTATATATCAGAAGGTGTACGGCGGCGCTACTGTTATGTGGCATGTAACAAATGCCATATTTGGGATTACACTTTCTTAGTAAAGTACAAATTCTAGAACTTTTTGGGTTGAGTCCCAAACGGGATTCGAACCCACACCCTCAGGCACCCATTCGCAAGCACACAAAGTCAGACGCCTAGACCGCTCAGCCAACGCGTCTTCCACACATGTCTATTCCACCAGGAACAACGTTGGGCATTCAGTGCAGGGCAGTGCAGCGCGATAATTAGACTTGAATTCTGGAACGTACAACAATGTACCTAAAACCTCATGGAACTTTCCAGTATGTTTTAACCCTGAATACCATGGAAAGGTTCAGATCAGTTACTATAAACACAACGGGTGTGTCTTTGTCTCGGTAAAACTGACAAGATATAACTTTTCAGTTGCTACAAGTATGTTGACAATCATCACTCAGAGACCCAATACCTTCTGATCTACTTGTTTTTGTAATATGTTGAATTAAAACACACTGATTAATGCTGTGTGTTGGATTAAAGTCTTGTAAGACCAATAAAACTAACCTTCCTATTCAATTCTGTGTGGTTTTTCAAAAGACGATCTTTATTAACGTCAAAGTTGAGATTGTTAGTCGTCATTACATCATATTTGACAGACGCGATATCCACATATTCAGCATAAACATATTTGTTGAGTTTGCCGTAGATTCCTTGTCCTCGGAAACCATCCTTCGTCCTGGCTCCTCTGATCATGAAGGTCTGCCCGTCATCAATAATGAAGGCCATGCACAGAGCAATCTGAAATGTAAAGTACACGTTAAATGCTGGAGGTGTATGCGACACATCTTTAGTTTACTTTGCCTGAGAGAGAATGAGCTTAGTTTTACGCCGCAGTAAGGTTATATTTAAGCTATATGGCGGCGGTCTGTAAATAATCGAGTCTGGATCAGACAATCCAGTGATCAACAGCATGAGCATCAACCTACTCAATTGGGGTACGATGACGTATCAACCAAGTCAGCGAGCCCGAGCACCAGATCCCGTTAGTCGCCTCTTACGACAAGCCTGGGTTACTGAAGGTCAACCGAAATCAGGTGAAATAGGATGTGGCTCCACGTTCTTGAAAGATGTATTTTTGCGACTTGGATGCATGTGTATGCGTGCGCGCGTGCGTGCGTGCGTGCGTGTATGTGTTCCCGTGGTTCCTAATTTACCAAAGGAGGATTCGTATTACAATTCAGAATTGCGAAACTAGATAAACCTCACAAACACTTTAAGAATACTCGCCTTTTGGTACACTTATCCTTGGCCAAAAGTCAGTGCCCATGAACATTAACGACTATTGTAGTAAGAGTATAGCAGTTTTCTCGACCTTTTACTTACAATTTCATCTCCGATCATGTAGACGTAGGATCTGTTGTTGGGGTCGTCGATGTATGCGTGGTAACGATGCCCCAGATAGTCCATCCCTTGGTATACATCGCCTATCTGCATCAACTCATCGAAATCATCATGAGTGGCGCGTCGAATTGAGTGAGTTGCCATTTTTTAAAATGTTCTGAAACTGAGAGATGGATACGTACCAAACACTTCAAATGCACTTTAGCAGACTTTCCAGATGCATTATATAAATATAAAGTCTTACATTTTCGTTTTATCGTATAAAGTTACGTAAATTGTCATAAGGTATCCTCTACAATTATCAGCACGGAGACACATTGTATCCATTGAATCCACTAGCAAGAATTTTTTTGTAAAGACAAAAGTATAAAAGCAAGAAATCAAATGTGTCCTTGTACTATTAAAAACCAAAAGCCTGCTTAAATCAAATTTCGTACAACTTTGGAAGCGTTTAGAAAAAGATCGAATTAACTTATACACGAATAGAAATGTTGATCTCAAACATTACACTCGGACTAAATTTGTGAACGTGCAGCAGATCAACAAAGTCAGTAATATAACAATTCCTACTGATAAAACTCATAGGGGGATGATCAAAAGATGCATGAAGAGATTAATGCATTGGTCATTGTCTTACCCATTCAGTCACCGCTGCTTCCACAAAATTGGAGTGAAGGAGTGAGTGAGTTAAAGTTTATAGTCACAGCAGCAGTATTTCAGCCATATCGTGCCTTAAGACAGTTATAAATTCATGACAAATGCGCAAATTTTAAAAACCTGCCGACGAAGGACAGTAAAACCAACTAGTATATCACAGTAATAGGAAATAAAACTAGCGTATGTCTCTAAAATAGGATTTCAAATTAGGACAATACAATATAAAATAAGGCTGAGGATCGCCAACAACTGAAGGTATACCACCACTCTAGGGACCATGGAGACTTACAGTACTTTGGCTACCTGCATGGACCCTAGCTGGATATATACCATCCCTTCGGCCACTGGCGATTGTACTGATATTTAGCCATAATAAAACAACAAATATTCTACGATTAAAAAGGTGTGTAGAACTAAATTGACTTGGGAAGTTTTGGGACTTTCTTACCCTCTCAGGATACAAACTTGGAAATCTGACAACCGGTAGTCACAGCCATGTACTCTGTGCATCATTTTACGATTTTCTTTATACATTTACCGAATAAGACGTCATCTCCTACAATGTTACACTGATTGATCTCTGCAGATGTATAATGATGTATGCCACTTTGGGCAGTTTCTTGTATAAATTAATTGTATACACATGTAAATGTATGTTCTTATGTAAATTGTAGATTTAGGTAACAATCTTGATTAATATAATTTGTATATACATCTATATCAATTTTGTAACTTTGCCCCCTTTCTTGTATTTATATGTATATAATATGTTTGATCTTCGGATGATCATCTGGAGGAAATAAAGACTCTTTCTCTGTATTTGGGATTATACTTTCTCAGTAAATAACTGAGTCTTGTCGTTTAGGGTCAATATCCTATGAATCCTATTAATTGAATACACGATCTTTTTTTATAATCGTGTTAATTATGATCATGGTAGTACTTCAGATAGTATATATATGTATTTTCATAGCGCCTTGATATCTAATATATATTATTAATATATTAGTGTGCGTACACATGTATATATATTAATCTGTAAACAATTGCTTTACAAACACATATTATTGTACTGAAGAGATAATTAAAGACACATGGCCCGTTGACCATTCCATGCTCGTTTTGAAATATAATACCGTACATATTCAGTACGTGAACTATATTACTTTTCTACATGTTGTACACGAATATAATTCAATCGACAGTAAAACACATTATGGTTTGAGATAAAAACCAGCATATAACGTTAAGACAACAACACTTTTCAGGACAATAAACTATCAAACGCCATAGATTGCCAGCAGCTGAAGGTAGATCACCTTACTTGGGACCTATTCTGCTTGACTTTTCAAATGCATAAGCGATGAATATGGAACATCTGTTTCCCTCGTGAGCGGGCATCTCATTGTTAACTACTTGAGAGAGATTGTGTCATAAACTGTAACTGTGAAATGTTTTTATCTTCGGTGATTGACGTTTTCTTTTGTGGATAAAAATGTAATGAATAAATATGTGTTTAAAGAAATTCATTTGAACTCTGTACTTTAAATGTGTATGTGCAGACTTGGTGTCGTCACTATATGCCTGAAATAATGCTGATGCGACGTAAATACTCAACTCAACTTAATTACTTGGGACCATTGGTTCCACATGCTTAACTAACGCGGCTCAGGCAACAACTGGTGTTCATGCCACGAGGGCAACTGTGACTATGCGTTCAGGAATATACACGGGTTAGTGTCGTATAACACACGGCGATAACACTATGTTTCTCCATTATCCGTGGATAACAACCTCCATAGGCGCTCTTGTACACTGAGGGCGTTTTGCACAAAATTCCTGTTGGCTTCACATGATTATGACTTCCGTCAAGTACGCGCGGTTTCATTTCATTGCTTGTATCGTAGGCATTTTGGCGGTATGTGAGTTTTCACAAAGGGTTTATAAATCTGTATATATTTCCTGTGTTAATTATAAAATATATATGTAAATCTGCACAGTGTTGGCAGTATACCGGGGGCTTGACTATCACGACCATGGCCAGCAGGAAAGATTCGTGCGGTCCCATGTCTATTGTTGGTGAAGCACATCTGTCGAACATGAGACCCGTGGAATTGACCACTAATCAACTATGCAGTTGTACATCTAGATCATGAATGCAGTGTTGTGGAGCCAGTGATGAACGCCTGTTGGCAGTGACAGTTATCCCGAACTATCACAAACCGACATATACTATTCACACTTCGTCTTGACGCAGTCCTCTAATTCAGATTTTAGTCTTTCACATTCTCTGTATTACTATATAGCAATCCAATTGTTCAATCTATATATGCCCCAATATACATTATACGGTTTGCTTGTACATAATATGTACTACTTTTGCTCTGCTCAGATATCATGTTCAACTGTAACCAAGTAAAGTGAATAAAATATATGCTCAAATTGTGTCAACACTGACCTGTACATAACAGCGTTACGCGGGATGGAACGTAGTGCATACAAACCAGTGTGTGTGTGTCTCTCTGTGTGTGTGTCTCTCTCTCTCTGTGTGTGTGTGTGTCTCTCTCTCTCTCTCTCTCTGTGTGTGTGTGTGTGTGTGTGTGTGTGTGTGTGTCAATTGGCACCCGTACCAGTTGAGTCATGTATTGTACCTCTATACAAGACGCTACCGCAGATTCTTTAAAGGTCCGGTTCAAGTGAGAGAAATTCTAGGTTACGGTGTACATGTAATCGATCGAGTGTGTACCTATCATAAGAAAACAAACAGTCAATTGGAACAGATTGGAAATATAACTCACTGGTTAATATAGGATGCTTCTACTCGGATATCCCCACAGTGCTCCGAATAAGACGCACACGTTCGTTCACAAAGCAGAATTACCTTACCCTGTTAACGTATCACTACCGCCTCGTCGACTGAGCCACGTGCCAGCAACCAGCTCCACATATGGGCCAGGTCAAGGACGTGGAGTCCCAGGACAGCGCAGTGCTTGTACAGAAAGTCACGCTCCAATTTGACCCGCATATCCCTAGCATTGACAATGTTCGTAAGTGTTGTTTCATAGTGATAAAAAACCTGTCAGTAAAGGTTTCGTCAGCACATTATTACTTTATTCATCATAACTATCATATTGCTAAACTAACTGAAAAGTAAATATGCAAAAAAGGTTACATCTTGCATCATCAACTGGGTAACTATTTTAAGCAAAGACTTCAGCTGAAAAGTGCACACTGTTTGTCCGACTTGATGTTTACAAATAAAATGAAAATAAAACATTGTTACTTTGTTTGTCTTCATTTATGATTGTTATTGTAAATAAATGTAACGCTAATATAAAACAAAAATTAAGAAAAACAAAGATTATTATTTTGGAAATCTCACTAATTTAGCTAATGTCAGCTATGTCCGTCAATCAATGACATGAGCAACATTTAGGTCAGTCATAAATGTGACATTAGCAACAATAATCAGATATTAATTAAAACGGGATGTATTAATAATATATGTGCATTAGATTAGATTAGCAACATATCTACAACACTGTGATAATTTCTTACAATTTCAACTAATACTTTTAAAACCATTTAATGTACGGGTATTGTTGCTAATTTATTGATTTATTGATATTGTCACATTTATGACAGACCTAAATGTTGCTAGTGTTTGTCAAATCATGACATCATGTTTTTAAAAAAAAATAACATAAAAATAGGGGCGGTGAATTATTTTTTCATATTTTGCGCATTAAGTAACCACAGCCCATTCAAACATATCACAAATATTCTGATTTTTGTCTGTTTAAAATGTGTTATCAATAATCACCGATGAGTGCACTTTTCAATAGAAGATGCCCAAACAGTAATCTATATCCAATTATTTACTGCAGGGCAAAAGCAACTATACAACTAAATTTGATGAAACAAACTGGGAATGGTTATTCCATGGCAATGTGTTTGATACGGGTGTTACAAGCATTGTTATTCTATACAGGGCAATATACATTTGTAAACATGATCGTCCAATTACGTGTGAGTGTTTGTTCAATCCTGTTGTTTGCCTTCTGTCAATAAACTATGTTCTCATGGATAAATTGATTTTACGACAAATCAAAAACAAACATGAAATATATTTCCCTTAGATTGAATACCAATATCTTGTGCCTCTTTTTATCCAAGTGCCTCTTGTTTGAGAGCGGATGTTTCAGGTTGTAAGACACCTCTAATTCTTACCACTTTCCATTTCGAGGATCATGCACGGCTTTGCGATTGTCTTCGCCACGATCGTTGATTTGGTATTAACTTCTACAGCTCTTACATGCCCTTTCCAGTCACAGACTACTCTCCTCACTCAACCAAGGGCCCATGCATGCTGGAAGCAAATGTACTGTACGTCCCCATGGTCCCTAGTATGGCGACCTATAGCTCGATTTTATATTGTGTTGTTTGGAAATGATTTAACATTTTACACTGAACTCAAACTAGTTTTAATCGATTTGTGATATTCTACTCGTCATACTGTCCTTCGCTGACAGGTTTTTAAATAAGTATACGTATGTTTATTGTTAGTACATAACCTTTTATCGTCACAATAGGACTGAAATATTGCCGATGTGACGTTAAATATTAACTCACTCACTCACTCACACTACCAAGCCCCAACTAAAATAACAATCTCAACCACTTTGATAGTTTTATGTGCTTGTGTCGCTTCTGGCCGAACTGAAGTAAAGGCGAGCATTCTTTTACCCAATGTTTCCAAAATGTGTTCGCCAAATACTGAACCTAGCGCTACCTCCACTTTCAGTAAATGTCAAATGTATCACTGAAGCCCATGGTCATATACTCTTAAAAAACCCGCAAAAGGATTCTTTTTTATTTGAAACAGAAATAAATGGTATAAGCCATATGTTACAAGCCCATAGATTGTGGTATCACAGGATTTGAGGCATTGATCATCGACAAGAAATTACAATAAAACATGTCAATCTGGACAGACAGAAGAACACATTCAACTGTTCACTCAAATCCATTCATGCTTAATGGATCTGTTTGAGAGATATGCATGTTTTGCACATACTATAGGAACCGAATCCCCATAAAAGCGACAGGTTGTCGATTTCTTTATCTCAGTATAAGGCCGTAAACACGCCGTACAGTGACGAGTGGAGGGCAACGCAACAACGCCATCGGTCGCTTAGAAGCAGGCGAATCTCAATCAGATGGCGCCAGAGCTTTCAATGTCAACCCAAGCACTATCACAAGGCTATGGAATTGTTATCAACAACAGGGCCCAACTCATGACCGTCCCAGATCCGGTACACCTCGTGTGACAACGTTTCCTAGGATCGTTACATCCGGTTACGCCACTTACTGGATAGGACTGTCACTGCAACATCCACTGATTTCGGACCAGATCGGACCATCTACGAGATGCAGGAATCCGACCTAGACGTCCGGTCAGAGGCGTCATTCTCATTCAGCAACATTGACAAGCACAACTCCAGTGGACTCGGGCACATCGGGTTTGGCCTCGTGGACAAAGGAGGCAAGTTTGGTTCGGTGATGAATGTCGTTTTATGCTTCGTAGGCAATATTGAAGGGTTCGTGTTTACCGTTGGAGAAGTGAACGTTAAGCAGCAAACTGTGTGCAAGAAGTTGACAGATCTTGTGGTGGTGTAATGATGTGGGCAGTCATCTCCTACATCGCCAGATCAAAATTCAATCAAAATTCGAGGCAATCTCACGGCACAACGATACGTTGACGAAATCCTAAGGCCACAACCAATCATGGTCTACGTCAACGCCGTTTTTCAGCGTGGCAATGCCCGTCCTGACACAGCTCGACTCACCACACCATCAACGTCTTTCCTTGGCACTCCAAATCGCCAGATTTGAACCCCATCGAACATCTATGCGGCGAGTTGGACCGACGTTTGCGACGGTGACAACCTGAGCCACAGAATCTACTTTTGCTTGCAGCAGCTTTGCAAGCGGAGTGGACATGCAACCATTCCCCAGGATGGGATTCGTAATCTCATCATCGTTTCCATGGGCAGGAGGTGCCAAGCGGTCATTGATGCACACGGAGAGAATAACTTTTATTGACGGAAAGTGACGTTAAACCTGACCTGGTGACCGTGTGTCACTGTTGGTGACTTTGCATGTTCTTCTTTAAATGTACAAGTTTTAATCCCTTTCCTGAATATACTTAGTATCAATTTGAGAAGAGTATCGTTTCACCTTGGCAAAATAAATGTATGTGACCTGGTGTGAAGACACATAAATCATGTGGATCATTTGACACATTTGTGATTTATAGATTGTTAATAATTGACTCAGCTTCATTAAGAAGTGCTTGTCGTCCTTCATCATCTACGTGTAATACGAGCTGTTGTAGTAGCTAACATAACACCATTTTAATTGTCTGGGTCGCTATGATGTGAGGACATTGGAAGGTAAAATGTCATGCCGATCCCTTTTACTGAAGCGATGTGTGTGGTGTCTCACCATTCCAATGTAGGGTCTCTTCAAGAATTTCTCTATCACACCGGACTAGGTCGCTGTTTTTATGGTCATCACTGGGTTTCGCACGGCTACAAATCTTCCAACTTTCATGTTCATAGCCAGCCAGTAATGACTAATATCATGCTGCAGAGAACTTATGAAAAAACTATCATGATTGCAACACATGTTAATAAATGGTATTGTGTAATCATATCATAACTGCAGATAAATCACTGTCGCGTAAACAGGGTTGCGCAACAGAGAGAGAAAATTACGAGTCTTCCTTTAGACGAACGAAACTAGCGGAGGTTGATAACGTACTTCCCTCACTTCGGTTCGAAACATATTCTTAATCTTAAAATAAAATATCGCCACCATCAAAGGAAGACACCCATTTCCTCACAGGGCTATGCTCTCAGATTTACAACCTCATACGAGTTTTTAATAATTCCTAATGAAGGAACAGGGGAGTTAACTCTAAATATACTTGTTGAATCACAAGTCCGCCGTATGTAATACTTGCAGAGTTACCTCCCTTTCTTTCATTCGCTGTAGAAGTATTGTTTGTTTTGATAGAATAAAAGTTACGAAAATTCGAACAAAACGACGGCTAATAAGATAAATAATCTTCAACAGTTTAATGGTGAATGTAACGGGTTGGGGTGAGTGAACGTGGTCGTCAGGATATTTATGTCCCATCCCAACTGTCAGTTTTGAAGAGATATGTAAGAACGGATTAAAAGAAAATTCTAACAAAGAAATAGAGTCAATGAATCTTGACTCGCTGTTGTTGTTATGTATTTTATAGATGACAATAGCAATTCAAGGATAACAACAACTGCAAGAATGAATTAAACTTTGCTAGTATACCGGCTTGTATACTTTTCAATTCCACTAAAATATTTTCTGTGCGCAAAGGCAGAGCCAAGAATGCAGCACTGTAATGATTATTAATTCAAATTTAAAACTCTAAGAATGCAAAATTTCCTAAAAACTATCTCGGCCCCAAAACTCTACAACTTACATTGAGTCGGTTGTCTCTCTAACTGCTTTAGAACGAGAGTATGCTATATGACGTCATCGTACTTCCGGTAATGCATGTAGCAGAAGACGCCGAACATTAGAGCGAGAAGAATGCGATCTAACATCCAAATAAGACCTGACATTAAACTAAACGGATATAGTGTACCAATTACCACCTCCAGGAACACGCCTGCTTAAGTTCTTTTTTAATATTCATCTATATTTTAGCAGATTTAATGTATAATACAATCTCTGAATCAACAACACATGTTTTGATCACCTGGAATCACCTGGAGATCGCGGGACAATTCGAGGATATCTCTGAAGCGAATCATCATAACTGTTAAATCTTACAAAAATACATTAATATGAACTTGTAACTACAATAAACAT